AATCCAGTTGATAATTTCAGGTTATCAAAACCAATCACTGTATCTCAGTTCTCAAACAACATCTGATCATCATCATCATCCTCATCATCACCACCACCACACCAGTAATCAGCCACTGCAGAACAAACACACAGTGAAGCTGAATTTCCTTAAGTGTATTGTGCTAGTTTCCTTCACTAAACTTTGAATTGCAACCTCAATTAACAAGACATTTCTTGCTTAGGCAAGAGAGGGGGTGGAAGGGGGAGAGGTCTTTGAGACAGCCATGGAAATACATGCACAGCTTTCAGGAAGCAGAAATGTGTTTGTAATTTGCAACAGGAGGAAAAATAAAAGGCTGAAAAGAAAGATTGATTCAGTTTTCAGACTATTAAATCAATGTCAACTTATCAAATCCTTGTATTTCCTGGAATGAGAACAAAGGTAACATAAATTAATGTTTCCAGATTTGTGATCTGTTTACAGTTATATTGTGCACTTATTAGCAGTACGACTATTCAACCACAATTAGAAATACTACCACTTTTTCTTTTAATTTCATGTGTAAATTTGTACTTAGGAGAGTGATAAACAAAAATCAATCTCTACAGGAGCTGTTCAGACAAGTACAATTCAGACTTTACTACCGACAGCTGTACTGAAATACTTCTACCACCACAGGATATAAGTTGCCAGCTGTTCTAACCCTACACACCACACAGCTCATGTGCTCCCTTGCAACCTTGTTCCACAGCACAATCTCCCAGGCATCAGTTCTGAGCCTGCTTTTTAAGTTATTTATATATATATATATGGTTTATGATGCAATTCTGTCATCTTCAAATGGAGCCAATATCCATTTACCCAGGTATGAGAACAGAGCATAATCAGATCCCTACAATGGAGACTCACCCAATTATGAGGATAGTCATTCTCCTCTATCAGGAGCTTGCAAACCAATAAAAAAGCCTTTTTACAGCACAAGACATCTGCAGTTAAGGTTTCAACATATTCTAAGTGGTGGCAGAGATAGAGAGTCTGATCTTTTTTGGTTTTCTTCTCAATCACTCTTATTTTCTAATTTTGTACTAATCAGCTTTTATTGTCTCAAGTGACAGATCTTTATGCATCCTTGGGGATAATAATCTACGATGCTCTCGAGCTGTCATTTTGATGAGAGATTGACTGGGTTGAATAAACAGGTCAATCCTAACATAAAGATTATCATTGAAAATCAGGTGTCAGAGGCCCTACTTAATTTATTCTGACCTCATATCACAAAAAGCAACATGAATCTTTCTTGAAATTCCAGGATAGTTCTGGCATAATTCCAGCAATGACAGAGACATTTTGATCAGTGGCTGTGTAGGTTCCTTTTACAATGAAATTAGGCATGGTATGTCTTCACCAGAGTCCAACAAATCATTGCATGCTGCTTATTCTTCTCAACCTCCTCTCTGTGGAACAGGATCCAGCAGATTAGATTCAGAGCGATGCAGAGCTGGTGAAAGAGATCCCACTAGATTTCACACAAAAATTTTCATTGCTGCTTTTCCCACGGTTCTGTGCTCCTCATGTTTTGCTTCTCTTGTGACATTTGACAAATAAGGTCTCATAAAACAAAAGAGTAAAATGAAATTACCGTGTCTCTCAGGCTCTGCATTTTGATACCACCTTTCACTTTCAAGTCCTTAATCTGTAGGAAAACAGATGCATTTGCCCTATTAATTTTTTTTTTTAGAACCAATGTGATTTTCCTAGATTTCTTAGTTGCTTAGTGAGAGAAAAGATTAGTAAGAGATGTACAAGACAGTTTCCTAAAACACTCACTTTTCTGTCTGGCCAATTTGATGCCTACACTCCTTACAGTACCACAGAAAAATCTCAGGCAGCTCCAGGAATGCATCATTAAAAAAGAAACCTTTTCCAGGAGAACTTTACTTGGGCAGCTTTAAAGCTTTTGCCTCCAGTCATATGTTGTGATGGATGTCTATCTCGGTGGCAAAAACATGATTTATGTGAGGGAGACCTGGGAATCAAAGAAGACAGTGGACAGATACAAACACGCTGTGTGTGTGTGTAGACATCAGCCTCCAAACATCTGGGCGTGGATGACCTTTTCTGTGGAAGAACCTTTCTGTGGATGATTTCTCTGTGAGTCCCTCTACTACTGAGTTTCTCCTACTTTCCTCTGAGTTGCCATGATAATGAGAAGTTAGATTTTCTATGTACTGGTATTATTTGTATGAAATCATGAAGGACATGCCATGTTAGACATCAGCTGTGCCTTTGTGTTCGAAAAGACACACAAAAGGCAGCGATGAGTGGCTCCAAGGAAGGGAAGCTGTGAGGACAAGTTCCACAGCCTGCTGATAAAGGGATTTCTTGGGAAGCGATGATTCAGGATTCACAAGAATTGCCCTTATTATGTAGTGATGCCTGCCCAGCTGTCTCCCTCCAAATCTGTGCACAGTGAGGGAGACAGGAAATAGGCAGTTAGAGCATGGGATCACTGCCTGCTGCCCATGGCTTCTCCAAGTTTGTTCTGAGGAGGTACCAGCCCTTAGAGACAGGTCAACAGGTGGTATCTGGATTTTGTAGGCTGTATAGCTGGTACTGCTGGGATTTAACCTGTTACAGAAGATTCTTGTGCCTTCAAGGCTGAAGCCAACTGTTGAGTGTCTGAAAATGAAACTAAATCATACAAGGATTAAGGTTATAGATCCTTGTCTGGTTGACTTGTGCCAGGAGATGTGCCAGGAAATGTACCAGGAAGACCTCCAGCAGTCACTTCTCTCTGGTCTGTCTCCAGCACAGATTCCTAAGGGTGCATCCCTGATGGTTAGACAAAAGAAAGCAAAGAACAGGATTATGTGAAGTCAGGCAGCCCGTGGGGGTGGAGGGGGAAGGGAAATGAAAGAATACTTAAAATAAACAAATACACATCCCAGGAAAAGCTCTTCCCAAGAATCTGTAGAGAACTGCCTGTAGTCAGTTAATCAGCATAATTGTTTCTAATTAGGTTTCAGAGGCACATCACAAACACTGCAGGCTTTGCAGAGAATTGGGTAAGGGTCTGGGGAGTGCAAAGAGGGAAAAGCTTCCAGAGCTATATTAATGACAATCATAACTCTCTGCACAGCCAGGGAGGCTTCTGCTCTAATTAGAACCATTCTTGCTGAAATGGGAGGCGACATGATTTGTGAAAAAGACACCCTCAGCATGTAATTTTCTATGTAACAAATCTAGAAAGATGGATGCTCTTTGATCTCGATTCTCCTGTTATTGCTGTTCACACTGGGAAGGGCTCTTTAATGAAACAATCTCAAGGTAATTTACCGCCTTTGAAGTCCTGAAATGTGCTGCCAACAAAATTTCTGGTTTAGTGCAGGCTGCTGCAGCAGTCATTCAGGGTTGCTTAATGGAGCACCAAAACTGGAACATCAAGACATCAAAGGTGAAGGTGCCATGTGATTAATAAACTAAGCTATTCATTTGTTTCTGCCTCAGAGGCAATCTGACAATTTATTGTCACTAGCTAATTTGCACTTTGTGAGTACTTGCTCTTGCTAGTTATGCTGCCTATAGAACAAGATAAGTGATGTTTACATGAAGAGGGGAGGAGAATAGACCCTTTTTAAATCTGGGGGAAGAGAGGGAAAAGCAAAGGCATTTCCAAAACGATTGTGGAAGCAACTCAGACTGTGGAATTTTATAGAGGGGAAGCTGCATTATTCCCTTCCCTCCCCCTGCTGCCTTTGACCATCTCCTTGTTTACATGCAGTTGCCAGGAAGCAAATCCCAATTAAAAGTGGATTACAAGGCAATGAAACAGCATTGTTATGAGGGAAGAGTTACACCAATCCATTTCTTTTTAATTTGATGGCTAATACAGGGGTTTCGATGTTATTGGATAGATAAGGTGGGTCTTGCAAATCTCTGCTGACATCTGTGGTGGCAGACAGTCTGGTCTCTGAGGAGAAGGTTGTGCCCATCATTTCCTCTCTTCAGCGATAAAAGCCTGTCATTCATTTCCTATTGGAAGTGCCCAGGTATCCACCCCAGCAGGACCTCGTTGCCTCGAGAAAGCCTGCAGTGAAATGGAACAGCCAAAAAAAGAGAGAACTTCCCACAGAGAAAGTAAAAGCCTAGTTCAGATAATGTGGGCTGATCACCTTTGTGACCAAGTGAAAACAAAGTATTTGTCTAAGAATTCCGGGAATGTAATTGGGATGTGGAGTCTGACAATGCTGCCTGCAATAAGGGGGAGTTTAGGGGAATACAAAACAGCGAAGGCCTGAAGAGTGGGGAGAAGTAAATGGTACCTCCCAGATTAGATCAGCAGATGAACCCTTCTCCCAGTTCCTGAAAGATGCCCTTTCCACAGCTATGGCACGGCAGGGGAGGGCAACTGGCTACTGATCTCTCTTGCTCTAGGGCAGAGGAACAAGGGGCATCCTGTGGAAGGTGCTCAACCTCCTTATCTAGCCTCGAATATTAGAGCTTTCCAAAACCTCAGGCTACGGGGAGGTCACACACAGGAATTCTGATGTGCATAAATTGGCTAATGAATTATATTAAGACACCTTCATAAAATTTATATCCAACTTTAGGTTTTAAGTCTTCTCCCAAGAACTGGAATGGAGAGATACAAATTCAGTTTTGATTTTTTCAAAAATAAGACAGATTTAAATTCAGTTTTGATTTTTTTTTTAAATTAAGACAGAAAGGCTAAGTTCTGACTAAGGGCAAGTCTGATCATATTGTTTTTTTCGTTTGGGTTGCTTTGTGTTGGGGGTGGGGTTTTTTAAATGTTTTTTGAGCATTCCATCCTCTCCTGTGACACAAGCACACATGTGCCTGTATCCACACAGCAGCTGTGTTCAGAAAGAGACCATGTGGTGTTTGTAGAGTGTATGGACTGCATGGTGGTGTGTCCACAGGGGTATTGCCTAAGGTTTGCACCCAGGTCAGGCAGATATCCCACAGTCCTTGAACACACATCCGAACACTCGAAAAACTTACACCTTGGCTTGCCCTGGCAGCAAGGCATCCAAGGATATCCTACCACACCCAGGTCTGCAGCAGAGGAGCCAGACAAACTGGTTACACAGGCTTGGTTAGGTGGTCTTGAATCCATTGCAAAAAAAAATGTGCCAAACCAGTTTATAGGAAGATCTCCATGTGCCAGGTGAGGATGTCACAACTACCAGGCATATTAACCACGTTATGTGTGGGCACAACAAATATTTATAGTCAACCTTCTCATGAACTGGTTATAAACTTGGTTCACAGTGGAAATGTAGGCAGGGCCTTTGGGGCTATTTTTGGTCCTTAGAATGAGGCTGGAGATAGGAGCTCTGCCTCATTGATAGCACATTGCCTTTCAGTGCAGGGTGGAAGGGAGAAGTTCAGAGGTATGTAAAACCAAGGAAGAGTAATTAGAAAATAAACTAGGGAACTGCTATCAATGCCTGTGAAAGGCATTGTTTCACGAGCTGTTGAAGCTGGAGGCGATAATTTGATTGTTGTTTATGAACACTTGACCATCTACCTTCTCTAAATTTTGCTGTGCAAAGAATTAAATGAACCACAAGCTCCAGCACAGCAGAAAAGAGTGAATGTATTTTTTCCTTTCCTTTTTCTTTTTTTACTTTTTTTTTAAATTTTTTTGAAGAGGGAAAAGAAGTTTCATCTCTTTGCTCTATGGGGGTTAACATGCAGCATCCTGGTTCCTGTCACTAAGAAGCATGATAAGACTTCAAAGAGTACAGTGCAGGGCAGATACAGGCAGGCAACAAGAACTGAGGCTAGTAAGAAGCTTGTAAAAAACCCCAAAAAACAAAAACACACATACCCCAAACAGAAAAGAAGCACTAATGAGATCATATATGATGCAATCATTGTCCATCTTAAATAACCTCTTTTTATTCGCAGGTTTAAAGGACCCCAGACAGCAGCAAAATATTATCTGGGGTCCATAGCCATGGGCATGGAGCAAGGAAAGTGAATTTGAAGACCTAGCTACATCTGGAGTTTATCAGCTCTTTTCCTGGCTAGTATTACAGTAAACAATTATCTGTAGATCAGGAGACAGCAGGGACTTTAAAGACCCAAATTACAGAGAAAGGGAGAGAGAGAAGGAGAATACAAGAGATAAAAAGGAGTCTATGCATCTTATCGTACTAATGAAATCAACCTGACAATCATGGCAGGCTGCAAGGGCATTACACTGTCTGGTATTAAATGAGCAGTTACAGCACAGGCTCCTGTGTCAAACAGCAAATAGACACGAAAGAGAAGAAAAATGTACCGCTAGGTCGAGGCGAGTGATTTATAGGCAGTAGTTAGACAGCTGGTCAGTTTTAAAACCTCCTCAAGTGTGCTGTCAGGATAACAACATATTCAAATGTTTCGATTAGCATTTCAAGGGACTGGGAGTGTTCTGCAGCAGAGAAAAACTCAGTGATCCCTAAAATGCAGTTAATGAGGAAATAACGACTGCCTGGAGCTGTTGTTCTGTTTACGTGCTTAGAAACAATCACCTGTTGCAAGGGCAGGAATAATCCAGCCTGTTTTACGGACAAATTTGACTAATTTCCACTGTTTTAAGCCGTGATACCTTTCTCTCCTTGAACTCTGCTGGCTTGCTGCAAACAGCAGCTCTTCCAGCAAGTGGAAGTAGCATGAATAACATTTGGTCCCAAAAGGCTGTTTTACAAAATTACAGGAGTTAAGGCCATGTTCCTCAGTGGACCAGATGCAGTTACAAATGTTAAGTGTGCTCTATTTTTATAAAGGCCTGATGGATACATTACTACCTTATAAAATTCCAGGTTTTTTTTCTTCAACTGTGTACTTTCTGGGTCTTTCAAATGGGAACAAGAGCCAAATAATTCTACAGTTGGAAAAAGGCAGAGGACAAATGGGCTTTGGAGTTGGAACTAAATACTACAAAATTTTGTTTACTTCTGAGGCACCAAAAATGTATCCACCCAGTTCTAGATTGCACAAAGCTGGCAGAATCTCCAAAGATCAGGTCCAGGTTCTGAGACTTAAAAATTGTTGAGAGGAGATCCTTCCGTTCACAGTCAAATCTCCTCCAGCAGAACGTGGTTCCTCATGGCTCATCCTTCTGCTCCTGAGACAAACATAACCATTTGCCCCATAAGACAAATGTGCCCAGAGAAAGCCTTCCCACCACAACAGCATCCTGATATAAGCTGTTCTCTGTGGCTCCCCATGGGGCTAAGGCAGCCAGTAGGGTCAGTTCCCGTGCTATTACAGACAAAAAAATAGAATAAAAATTTCAAAGTTTTGTTATGAAAAACTCTACTACTTTCCCATCAGCTTATTTGACAGCAAAGTCAGTGTCTTGTCTGGGTTGAGTAGAGTTGTGAGAAGTCTCATGTGAAAAACTGCACCCAAGAATATGAGGTGAAGTCAGAAGTGAAGCTCTTAGGTTTGCCTGAGAGGGAGTAAAAACAAAACATAAAGGGTCTTATGAACGGGGAGTGGGGGCAGGCAGGCCACAACTTTTTGCTACAGGCATGAAGGCACAGTAACAACTTCACTGACTAATAAATTCTGTAATCCTATAATTGGCAGCTACATATTTGTACATGTGAGACCAAATGCAGTTTATAAAAAAAATCAAGTCAAAACAGGAAAAGCAAAGGCAGTTAATTACTTGTTTGTGTGGAAAGGTGAGAAAGAAAACCTTCACAGGTACTCCTTCCCCCATCCTGGGGTCTGGATAACCACATAGGAAGCAAAACAATCCACTATAAATTATTAGCCAAATGCTAATTTTGAATCCAAGAGTTATTTTTTCCCTCTCGTCTTTATTTCCAGACCAAGATATGTCACTTTGAAGTGAGGTGGGTCTTGATGTCCTTGGGAGGACAGCAAAGACTGACTAATCCGCCCCATGCTGGTTTGAAGTGCAATCTCCACATCACACTGAGGGCAGGGCAGTGCCCAGAGGTGTCCCTTGGAGTTAGGACAATTTTCTGAAGATGCTCAAGCCTGTTTGGCCCATCATGCTGACAAATCCCAGGCCAGCTGGACTACTTGGAGCAGCTCTGCCTGTACATTTCCATTGATCTTCTGCCTGGATACCTAGCCCTGAATTTGTTTGTCATGAGAAGATGTCATCTTCATCTCTCTAATAGGTTTTCAAAGAGTAGCATTTTGTTTGAAGGGAATGGAAAAGAAAAAAAGCAAGTGAAAACACTAGAGTTACTCAAGATGTTTATATTTGCACTTGAAGATTAGCAGTATGATGTGTTTCAGTTCCTGTTCCTTTGAATAAACCCTTTTTATTAAGTTACACTATTGCTAGAACCTACTCTACTGTTTGAAAATAAATAACACACTAAGGTTTCATAATGGATCCAAATTATCTAAAGCACATAAGGTTAGTTTATATAATTTATACTTCTATCTAACCTGTATAAGTCAGAATAATTTAAAATACAGTGGAGGAAGAATTTACCTTTTGCTGAGGGTCTTGAATCTGGATAAACAGTGATGAAATATGTAGTAACTCTCTTCCCTATGTGAGAAACAAGGGAAAGCAAGGGGACAACACTGGGCATGGCAGTGACACAGGAGAGGAGAAAGTAGGTGGGATGGAGAGTCCTGGAATACATTTGCTTTGAAGCAGGTTTGTTTTGATAGGTTGGCCCCAATTGCTTGGTCAAACATGCTGGGCTAGTTTCTCCCTCACTGTAAGTCAAGAAGAGTGTAAGTTCATTCATTATGTTGGGACTGTGTCTATTTATAGCCTTGAAGGACTGTATCCAATGTAATGATGTTGTAAGACCATAAGACAGATATACCATGAAGTTCATTTTCTAGACTTTTTTAAGTGGTGAATGTAATAGAAGTCATAAATGCTGATAAATGGGTAGTAAACAAGGATTGTTTTGTCCTACATGCCAGACAGCTAAAAATAATTTTGTACATTAGACAGCATTTGATGTAGTTATTTACTCAGCAAGTCAGGGCTCTAGGAACAAAACTCCTATTGCAAATATTCTCTTCTCTCTCTCCCCCTCTCCATATAATAAGGTTTACCTCTCTCTCTCTTTTTTCCTGAGGCAGTGTCAGTGCAGTTTCTCAGATTTCCCAGGCAGATACATTATCTTGTGATACAGCCTGTGGTTGTGAATGTCACGTCTTACTTTTGACAGGATGCCTACTAAGAAGATGCGTCACCCTGGGGGGAGACAGGGGTGTGGTGAAGGAATTGTACTACTTCAGTAATCAGACCTAAATAAAACAGCCTAAAAGTAAGTATATAGTATCCTCTCCAAAGTGTCTGCTAACCACAAGCCAGATGAAGGGCAGTAATTCTTTCCTTGTAACTCAGTTCTTCACTGTTCTGCAGAGGAACAAAAGGGGAAGATGGGCAGAGTCAGGTTGGCACATACAGCAACAAAGACACAGCTTCTGCCATTGTCCTTTTCATTAGTAAAAGTTCCCCCAGTTGGGTACAAAGCCCACAGAAGCTTTTGTTTGTTTGTTTGTTTGTTTGTTTTAATTGATTACAGCTAAATTTGGAGTTTGGATTGCTCTTCCCTAGTGGACTTCTCCTGGGAGCAATTCAGTCCTGATCAGCTGCCTTTGTGTGTTAAAAGCATGGTAAAGCTGAAAGCACTCTTATTTGAATGAGATAGAAGACCAAGGCTTGACCATTTAGGGTTGTTTAAACTCTCATGACAGTTTTTTCAAGATTAATAATAGGAGCCCAGGAGGAGGAGGAGGAGGAGGTATTGACATTTTCATCTGAACTAAATTGCATTCTGCCTGTCCTGGTCCCCCTCACAGTTTCAGCTGGGTATGATTCTGCTGTTCTTTATTCCATTCCTGAAACATGGTAATATGTTAGATTTTTAGCCCTGTGAAGACAGTGAGACATTGGCTCAGGTTTCCAAGAGAAGCTGTGGCTTCCCCATCCCTGGGAGTGTTCAAGGCCAGGTTGGATGGGGCTCTGAGCAACCTGGGCTAGTGGAAGGTGTCCCTGCCCATGGCACAGGGTGGAACTGGATGATCTTCAAGGTCCCTTCCAACCCAAACTCTTCTTTGATTCTATAAATAACAGAGTTGCTATACCCCAGAGTTGACTGTATTCCAGAAAAAGGTAAAATCATCCCTTTGTACAGCCTGCACACATGAATGAACCCTAGTTACAACTATTTCAAATCAACAAGAGATTCTGCAGAAGCAGAATATAGTCCTTGATCTGTAGAGTATCATGGAAAGCTTAATGTAAAGACATCTCAAAGCCAGGATGTAAAATGCTCAGATATTTGTGGCAAACCTGAGGCATTCTCTAAAGCAGAATGAAATGTAATTTCAGCTCTCTGAAGGCATGGATGGATGGATGGATAGATGATAGTTAGATACCTTGTGCTCTGTAATTCAGGTGAGAGAATTCAACCCAAGGATTTTCTTCTGTGGGAAGGTTTTCCCAACCTACTGTCACCTTACAGAATCACTGCAGAGAACCACTGGATAGGTGGTTGGAGGGAGAAACTCTCCCTTGTTTGGAAAATGTGGGCTACAGCATACAAAAACAGGAGAGATGTGAAAAAGAAGATGGGAATTCACATCAATAAAGGATGGGAATAATTTTAAGCTTCATTAAGTAGTTTGAAGAACTGAAATTCTGTTTGGTCAGAATGGCAGGGCAGGGGGTGGCTCCTCAAAGTAAAAGGTTCTTTCTTATAAAGAAAATTATTCCTTGGCTGTAGCTCTGACTCATACAAAGCCAAATACAACAACTTTGAGTGGTTACCCCTTACTGTGTGGTAATAGGAATGGGTCCCCCAAACTGAACTGGAATGAGGGAGGGATGAATCAAGGGGGACAATGTGATCTTTGCCCTCAGATTTCTGGGGGTGCAGGACTGAAAAAGGGCAGATCAGGAGAAATTCCCTCTCTTTTCCAATCAGATATTATATCAAAGCTTTAATATACAGCCAAAGGGATCCTTTTTTAGGGCTAATGATGGTCAAATCTCAACATGTTTTCAGTGTCAGTTCAACTTGAAAGGATCCTGCCAGCAGTCAGATACTTCAAACATAGGAAAAACTGCCATATTCCTTGAGGTCTCCCATCCTTCCCTTTACTGGGTTTTTTTCTCCAAACACCAGATTTGAGAGCCTTGACCTCAAAAAACACCTCACTAGGCAAGGTTCTTCTCATGCCAACTGGATTCAAAATTCAGCCCTCCCCAACCCTAAAGGAAACTTTCAGCTTGTGTATTCCCATTTCATTTATTTTCAAGGTTATTTTCACTGCTACTGAAGCTTAGGGGAGTTCTGTGCATTATTTATTTATCTTTGATCCATTGTTCCCAAGTCAGTCATTCTATTTCTTTCTGTTTTCAAGTTAAATTGTTTCACATCTCTTTTTCTTAGTAATGTATTTTAGTTTTGGTTTTCCTCTTTGGTCATTAGGGTGAGGGGAAAAACTCAAATTTAAAATGTATAATTATTTGGGTTTAGTAACATTAGGGAAAATGAGGAATTAAAGAGGTTCTGGATATTCAAAAGTTTTCTTTCTCTCTGTTATAAATTGGTTTTTGTACCTTGAGGCCAGTTGGTTGAATCACAAGGACTAACACTTCCAATGTAAAAAAAAAGAAAAAGCCTTGTGCAAGGCAAAGCACAGTTAAATGGTCAGAAAAAGAATAATCATTTTCCTGGGTTTTTTACCTGCCAGCAGGTGAAAACCTCTTCATTACATCTCATTTGAACTGCAGAAGCTCCTCAGCTCATACTAAATGAACAGTCAGCTTAATTGCTGACGCGAAACACTTTAAAGAAGGAAGTTTGGTCAAGTCATTTGTTTCTTTTGCATCTTTATCTTCAGTTTGACATGAGTTTAACCTTTGCTCCTAATCCTCATGTCAGTCAGGTTCAGCTTTAATCTCAGAAAGTAAAAGTATCAGTGCAGGGTTATTTTAAAGAGAGGAGTAAAATCTCAGTTCTCTAAAGGCGAATCCTGGGCTGTTTCAGGGATGGTGGCAGAAGATGCAGGGAAGAGGTTTTCCTGGAGAACCTCTTGAGGGACAGCATGGACCAGGGAGGGCACCTTGGTGTGCATCAAGCTTTAAGGTGCCTCTAATGTTTCTTGAAGAATCCCACCAGGCTTTAAAAGCTTTGGAGAACTGCTTCTTGCTTATCCATTCCTCTAACTGAAAGCAGAAAACACTGTTCTGACACTTCAGAGGCTCTAAAGGTAGAAGAAAATTCTTGGGCTGAATTCTCTTACCTGAATTTAGACACTTAAATCAGAAGCCCAGTTGCTCTTGGCTTCTCTTACAGTCAAGGGAGAGATGAAGATACCTCCAGAGGGAATTTAGGCCTGTTGACATTCTGCCATTCATCTCTTTAATCCTTTTTTTCTTTCACCGGCTGAGTCCAGACTGCCCAGCTGCACCCATTCCTTTGGATTTCTTAACATCTTTTTGTCCATCACATGTGATCAGTCATCTGGCTCCAGAAGTGAAATCCCACCGTGATCCACTGCCGTACAAAGCAAATGCACCATTAGCCTGGGGAACTTATTGCCATAAGGTCTTGCAGAGGCCAGAAGCTTAACAGGATTCAACAAGGAATTAGATATTTGTATCAGGAACAAGAATAGCCAGGTATAATAATCAAGATTAAAAAAATAAATAAGACTTTTGAGAGAGCTATAAACATACATTCTTCAGGGTTTATGCGAACTTCTGACTAATGAGGGTTCGGAGTAAATTTTGTCCACTGGAAATTCTCTGGGATTTATGTTTTAGCTCACTTAGGCACTTCTGAAATCCCACCCCCTAGGTCTGCTGGACTTCTGATTGATCCAGGATGACATTTCCTGTACACATATGTTCCTAATCATCAAACAATGCACAAATTTGTTTTTTAAAAAAAGAAATTAAAAAAAAAAATAAAATTAAAAACCAGTCCTGGATAATTCAGAAAAAAAAAAAAGCCTCCATTGTCCTCCTACCTGCGTAAAAGAAAACTTTGGCCCCTTCTCTCTTTCTGTGAATAGTTGTCTTGTTTTGTTTTTTTTTTTTTTCAATTACCATCAAAAACATCATGGATGCCTTGGAATCTGTAGTGAAGGTGATAGGGCATACCTGGAAGAATTTCCATTCTATGGAATATAGAATTAAAAGCTAATTATTTTACAGGAAACCTTGACTATATTTCTTCAAATCTCCAATTAGGAGTATGGTCTAATTTGGAATGCAGTTTATTATATGTGCTTTTAATGACTGTTGTACTCCAAGGAAGTGCAAAGCTTAGTTCTTAATATCTGTCATCTCAGAGGGAACCTTGGAGAACAGATGCTCATCAGGGCATCGTGGCCATCCTCCAATTGTTGATGGAAATGAAGGTGGGTCCCTTCAAACATGTTTTTAATGCCATATGGATAGTAGAGAACCAATGCCCTCCAGCAGGCAGCCAGATAGGCAAAGGTAGGGACTGAGCCAGGATTAAAGGATGCAGAGGCTATAAAAAGAAGGTTATGCCAAAGAACTAAGCAGTACATGTACTTTAAGCACACAAAATCTCTCCTCACCTAGAGTAAATAGATGAGGTAATTGTAAGTTAGAAAGGGAGAAGTCTCAGAAGTCTGAGCAGTCCTTTGTTCGCAGTTTCTCCTCTGTGCTTGGAAAGATCACAGTGCAGCGCACCTCGTATAAAGGTCACCTGATTATACACCCTGCAACGTGTTACAATTATAGCATCCCTGGTAGCTTCTAGTCATTGCAAAATAATTGTTGTAAATTTTTATAGAAGTCTTTTGTGGGCTTTTTTTTTTTTTTTTCCACTCCTTCTTGATCTGTGCAGCTGACTCACGAAGCTGGAAGAGGAGACGAAGCAGCAAATTGCTGCGGGAACTTACGTCACCAAGCGCTTGGGCTGAGCACCCAGAGCTGGTTTCATTTCACTGGAACCATCACACTGAAACTACTGTTCTGTCCCTGTGCAGAGCAGTGGCTGGATGTCCGTTCCTGAGACTGGAAACAAGCAGATAGCAACAGCAAGTGGAAGATAAAATGAACAGAGAGGCTCTTTGTATTTACAGGAGGACTTTTTGAGTTTACAAAATGTCTGAGATCTTTCTCTAAAACATCCAGTTAGTCTTTTCTGGCCTTTTATTGTCTTGGCTTTGGTCATTTCAATCAAATTTTATAGCTGCCAACACCAAAGAAAAGTTACCATCCATGCCATTCTTCTTTCAAATCCCAGAAATGAACCCAAAGAAGTAATTAATTCCAGGGTTGGATCTTTAGAGATGATGACAGGGCCAATTATTAACACGATTGCATCAATATGGGCCTCCTGTACTTTCCCCAACCACACAGGAAAGAAACATTTACCTAATTGTTTGGCCTTGTTCACTATCTTCTCCCTGCCCCGTCACACAGAACAGCAGTACCCAGGTTTCATTCCTTCACATGCTGATGTGACCCTTCCAGATTGAGTTGGTGCCTAAATGGTAGCAAAATCATCTGAGATGTCTTTCTTGCCTATGCACTAAGAAGATTCCAGTCTGCAGAAGTCTCACTGCAGCAGATTTGCAGATGTTACCATCATCCTCTGATTTTAAAGGAACAGAGATGTGTTATTGACAGTGAGTTTATTTTAGCATGTGATTCAGAACGTCGTTGTGCAGCAGTAAGACAGGACCTTTCCTCCTTTCTAACAGAACACTTAATCACATCTTTGCCTCTGCTGTGCTCTCTCACCCCTTGTACATATGTTCTGCTCCTGATGGTGAAAACTGAGTGCTAAAATCTTCCATGAGTTTGTAGGCAAGTGGAGTTGTGGGACAACCATTCATGGTTGGACTCCCTGTGTTCTACTGTCTCACAGGGGGGTTATTCAAGAATACAGTTTATTGCACATCTGGGAGATATGGGGCTGATGCAAAGAGGGAGTCTTTTACAAACCCCAAAGGTGACTCCGAGCTCCCTGGCATAAGTTCCTGGAGACTGTTTAAGACCTCTGGATTCCCACTGGGCTCTGAACATGCACTGCAGCACTAACAGCCCTCGAAACTTTCCTCTGCCTCAGCATTGCCTCTCCCAGAGTCAGCTCAAAATTGTTGAGAGGGAGTATTTCTGCTCAGGGAAGCAGAACTTGTACTACAAATTGCATGGTAAGCACTTGTTTTCTCAGAGAACATGCCTGATTGAACAGCAGTGAAATGAATCTCTAAATTCCTCACCAGACCTGGCCAGCCACCCACTCAGCCGGATGAATCAGATCCCTCCTGGCAGCCATGGGGGGGATCACAGGTGACAATATGGGGAGAACATGCTTCAGTGAAGATGTTTTCTTTTCCTCAAATCCCCTTTACCATTCCCTTTTTTTCCCTACACCAGGCTGCATATGCATAACACGGGCCAATTACTGATAAAAACCAACCAGAAGTCTCAATATCATTATAAGAACTTGTTTTTTTTATTTAGGTTTTATTAAGGTTTTAACCATAGGCTTGGGTTTGCATATGGTTTCGCTCATCCTATGTTAAAAAGCATCCTATGGAGGCAAAGAATTAAAAGCTCATATCTCCTCTATTTTATTCTGCTTTGATTTATGATGCACATTGATTCCATTCTCTGTGTACAACCTGTTAAATCACTCTAAGTAGGTGTAATGATAATACCTGATGGAAGCCTGATGGTGAAGCATTTGTTTAAAAAATTGCTGAGAGCAGCCCTTCTAGGATTAGAGATTGGCAGGTAGGGAGATGCTAGTTTGATCTTCACTATATTATTTTAATTAAATAAAACCAAAGGCACTGTGGGCAGCAAGCAGTCACCTTTTACATATTACACTGCAATAAACACATGTAATTCAATAAATACTCTCTGATGCCTTCCATTCACAATAGGGACTTGTGCTAATATCCCACTAGCCAATTGAAACCACTCTTGGCAGCTTTAAAGTGCATCAGATATGGCCATGTCCACCAACTGTCCAGCACTGTCTTTACCATGTTTATCATTTATTTTCCTGGCAGACCATGACCAGCTTTCCCTACATCCAGAAACACAGCCAGGACTTTCATGGGGGAACTGAAAAAACAGCCTGCATTCATATCCATCACGATTTCTCATGGTGAACAAACAACTTATTCAGTTTTAAATACAATATTTTTTTAATGTGTTGGCCTTTCCCAGTTATCTTGTTTCAAGGCACTGAAGAGGGATCGTACTATGATGCAGACAATATTTAACAATCTCAGCAAAGAAGAGGAGAGAAAAAGCAATAACCTTGATAATAAAATATATATGTAAATCAGGCTAAAAGAAATTGTTTGTTTAATATATTGGCCTTTGATGAATGAAGTCAAGGCATAGAAGGAATCATAAATGTATTAAAAAATGAGTGAATATGGTTTTGAAGTGTGGCAAACTTGAGGCACAATTATGATAATCCACCAGTGGAAGATAAAGAGGAGAACCAGAGCCAGACTACTGAAATCTGAACACCTTCAGATGTTGACCTGTTTAACTGACCCATGTCTTTACAAGTTGCTGGAACAGAAACCCCAGATCCTGAGCTTCACCTCTGTACATTTCTGGAACTCAAGCCTCTTCCTAGATTTTATTGTTTTCCTTTTTTAACACAGAAAAGCTATAAATAAACCCATTTACATTGCTGGAACTTTGATTTAATTTTACTCCTTTTCCTTTTAGCTTTTTAAAAGAGGGACTGGATAATTTTATGATCACTGAACATTTATCTTGCTATTCAGGCCTGGGCAGTTATAAAGGTAAAGCTTTCATGGTGTAATGTGGTATTTCCCTGAGGAAAGTGGAAGGTATGTCTCCTGTTTGATGGGATATTGTACATTTTGTTTGCACTTGTTGTAGGAGAAGTGGGACTTGATTCTTATTTCTCTTAGGTTTGATTTCTCTGCTACTGCCTCTGGTACTTTTATCATGAAATGTGATCTATCTTTCATAACAGACCTGCTGATTGGATCTGACAGTTGCACAAAGAAGATTAGATTTCTCCCAGGGATGAGAGAAAAGGACAGGAATTTCTAAAAAAAATATATGGCAAAAGGGAGTTTGAAACCATCATTTATATGTGTCTAGGGGCTCAGGGATTATTTTTAAGCCAAATAATAAATTTTGATTTGTGTTGGGAGCGTCTCAATGTGTTGGGTGGACAAAGTGACAGTTTATCACCATTTTACATGGAGTAAAAATTATGTTAGAAATTATCACTGGCTGTAGAGTTTATCAGTGCCACCAGGCTGGGCCATCCTGATTGTCACCAGCATAACTGGGACTGCAACCTGAGGGCCAAGACCAACCAGCCAGGAGAGAACCCTCATGGATACTACAGCTGGTGTAGCTCCTGCTGTGTTACACCAAGGTCCTTGGTGGTGCCAACCAGTGAACCCTCCAGACCTTTCTGCATCCTCCATGATGACAACCAAGAAGCTTTCATTGCTTCCAGCAGGAGTGGGCTCTGATCCCATTCCCACAAAAGCAGTTGGTTGTTATAGGTGGACTGCTGGTCTGAACCGGTACATCAAATCCCACGTTAACTTAAAAAACATTAAAATGACAACTTCATCTCGAGTTACTTTCCTATTCATCTATAGAATTTCTCAATTATGTATGACTAATTTTGCACAAAGTCATTATTTGGAGCAATTTGTCTAAGTACGAGAGGCAACACCTTCAACCTTCCTGGATGGTGGGTGGGGAAAATGTCATAATCAGTTCTGCTTTGGCATGAGTTATTAAGCGGTCACAGGAGTTCAAAGGAGAGAAATAATGAACAGGTAAGTCATTACATGCAAAAATTCTTCTTCTATATTATCAAAATACAAATTAATTACAGATAAGATCAGATGAATTTTCTTTAATGTCAGTTTTTTCCCAGAGATGGTAATGAAAGTGTAGAGTATGTGGGAGGAGAGGAGTGGAGATGTATGGAAGGGATGTTTTATTAATGTTGGCTTGATTTCACTGGGAAGACATTGCCTGTGAAAGCAGCAAAGGAATCAGGAAAGGCTCTGGGACATGCAAATAAAATCATTTTTATTGCACTTAGTGTGCTAACTCATGCATGATCTCATTCAGACTCTCAAAGCAATCATAAAACTATCTCCATGCAACAATTACTCCATCAGCCAATGCAATCAGCAGGTAGGGCAGCTGGCAGCCCTTGCCACAGGATCCTCCTGAATTCATTAGCTTGTGGTCAGGATACCTTGACAAGGTTTCCATTCCTGATTTTGAAGGGGACAACTGTAACTAAAGTGAACATATGACTCACCATAGCTGAGGAATAAAAGAGCCCCCTTGCTCCCCTCCCCCCTTTACATGCAATACTAATATTCACATGACAACAAACATTTTCAAAATAATAGTCCTATATACTTAAGACTAATCAGAGCGGGCGCCATCCAACTTGCAAAGGTAGCAATTTTCCTTCATTAAAGCCAAATCAGGAGAGAGAACTTCAGGATTCCTTAGGGCTAATTACAAGGTGTTAATAATAACAATATAATGGCAGCAATTTTCTAGCTTTGCCCAAACCTATAATCTGCCCTGAGTGCCTTATAGGATTGCCTCTGAGTTTATATAAAGCCAAGTGTTAGCCCAAAAATGCTTTAAGTAATTTAATTTTTACATCATGTCTCTTTTCAGTCTGTTTGTAGCGATGGGGTAATTGTTAGTGGAGAGCGTTTTCGTTGGGGAGGAGAACAAGTAGCAGCATGACAGCTCAGAATAACCCTCTCCCATCTTCCTGGAGCACAGGTTGTACACCAGAAACACAGAGAACCCAGGTCAGGCACCTCCAAGCTCAAGCCCAGCCTGCCCAGAGGGACCAGAGCTGCATTTCTTTGGCCCCTCCTGCCCACAGCGGAAGGGAGGGAGGTAACTGATTATAGGAGAGCTGGAGACAAACAACAAACAGACAAACGTACAAATTATTTTCACATCCACCTCCTAATTGCTTGCTAAAAACCCTCTAAGACTCCATGATCAAATGGAGTGACATATTGCTGGAGCGCTGATGAGTCA